ATTATACGAAAGAAAGGCGGAGAAATAAGGAACGAGAGGTAGAAAATCATTGACCGGTCGAGACTTCAGGTAGTCTGCACACAGATTTTAAAACCTGTTTCTCTCTACTGCATTGTTTACAGCTCTCCTTCAAAAAGTGTAACATTTGGCAATAAAACTATTTACAAAGTATATGTATATATAGGTGCAAAATATATATATTTGATAAACGAATAGAATAGTAATGTATACGCGAGTGAAACAACGTATAGCAAGTGGGGCAATAAAAAAATTATTCGCTCGATCTTGTTCGACTAATCCGAATCATGTTGATAGAAACGAACCGAAACCTTTCGAAGACATTCCAGGACCGAGGTCCTTGCCCGTTATTGGCACGTTGTACAAGTATCTGCCATGCATCGGTAAGAATAGTATTATTATAATGTTGGATTATATACAAATTTTTAAAATTAAATTTGCGATAAAAGCGCGAAACTTACGTTTTCTTTTTTTTTATTTCTACTGAATTAGGAATGAAACTCCCATTCTAGTTCTATCGACTTTTTTTATTTTATATTTTTTTGCATTTAATATATATTCTTATTTTATAATTGTAATAAACTATATAATTTTATTAATTATGTCAATGACGTAGGTGAATACAGTTTCGTCAAATTGGATATGAATGGTTTATTGAAACTAAAGCGATATGGACCTTTAGTGCGAGAAGAAATAGTACCAGGTGAATCAGTGGTTTGGGTATTTCGACCGGAAGATATCGCAGAAATTTTCAAAGCCGAAGCGGGCTTACATCCAAAGAGAAGGTCTCACCTGGCACTTCTTAAGTATAGAACAGACAGGAGTAACATCTACAACAATGGAGGCCTTATATCCACGTAAGAATTTTTTTGTGATTTTTACAAAATTTCGTATTGCATTCCGTTGTAATATAAAAAAGGTCCTTAGCCAGATAAAATCGCTTCGAGTTGCGCTAATAACAGAAAATATACTCTAAATTTAATTTTTTAATTAGAAATGGCACTGAATGGTGGAGACTGCGCCGTGAGTTTCAAAAAGTCCTTAGCAAACCACAAAACGTCATCGATTATCTGGAGGATACCGATCTTGTTGTTCAGGAGTTTGTACGGCTCTGTTCCCGTGAAAAAACCGATGATTTCCTGCCGTTATTCTCGCGTCTTTTCCTTGAATGTAAGATTCTATTAAGATTATTAAGACAAATTATATTATCTCATCCATATTAAATCTACTGATTAGTTTGCTTAAAGTCATTCATGTTAAGATAAGAGCACATACAATACGAAATATGTATAAAAGATAAATTCTGAAATGAATATAAATTTTGTTTATAATTTACTTTATTGATAATGGCAGTGACGTGTCTCGTTGTCTTTGATATAAGGATGCAGAGTTTATCAGAAAAAGAAAGACATGAAAATTCCCGCAGTTCAAGACTTATCAATGCAGCATTTACGACAAATAGTGCAATTTTAAAACTTGACAATGGCCCAATGTTTTGGCGATTTTTTGAAACACCATTGTATAAAAAGTTGCGCAGAGCCCAAAATTACATGGAAGAGTGAGTTAATAGCTAGAAATTAATTACAATAATGTTTGCAACACAAATATATATCGCCGTGATTAATTTTATGTAACATTAATCTCTTCTTTAAAAAAAAAAGACAATAATACAAGTAAAACTGCATAAAAATTTTTACATTACTTACGACGATTATGTTTGTGAAATCAATCTCTATTAAAATCTTATTCACAAATTATACACAATTCTACTGTGGCTTTTAACTGCCTTTTTAAATACTTCAGAGTAGCGCTGGAAATGGTTACTCAGAAAAATAAAGATTCGTCAATTTGTCGAAAACAATCACTTCTCGAACAGTACTTGAAAAATGAGAATTTAGATATCAAAGATGTCGTGGGCATGGCATGTGACATGTTGCTCGCTGGCGTAGATACTGTAAGTTTCTCGAAATTAATTATATGTCTTATATGTAATTATATTAATTAATTTCCTAAATATGATTACCACAGACAATGAAAGTGTAATGAGGAAAATACGATTTTAATTTTAGACAACATATAGCACGGCATACGCTTTATACAATCTTGCAAGAAATAAAGATGCCCAAGAAAAGCTGAGATCGGAAGCTACGGCTTTATTAACAGATCATACTTCTCCAATAACAGCAGATACTTTGAGGAACGCCGTATATACCAAGGCTGTAATAAAGGAAACTTTTCGTATGAATCCTATCTCTGTAGGAATAGGCCGTATTCTGCAAACCGACGTGATCCTTAGCGGATATCACGTTCCCCGAGGAGTAATATTATATTTTGCTTATAAAATTAAATGTTTTATTTAAAAAAAAAGTAGTATATTTAAGAGAGAAATTGCTTGTGTAAAGAGATAATATTTTTTAAATGTTTCAGACAATAGTTGTCACGCAGAATCAAATAATTTGTCGACTTCCCGAATATTTCGACGAACCGAATTCGTTCATACCAGAAAGATGGTTACGCGATGGTAACGATGAAATAAATAAGACGAGAGAAAAATCTGTAAATCCATATATGGTACTGCCCTTTGGTCATGGCCCGCGATCGTGCATCGCGAGACGATTTGCGGAACAAAACTTGCAAGTTCTCTTACTTCGGGTACGTATTTTAAAAGCTATACACTATAAATATATTATAGCGCGTGATCTCATAATTTAATGCATTCTTTATAGATATCTAGAAACTTGCGGTTTACATGGTGTGGAGAACACCTCGGTTCACTTTCATTATTAATAAATATACCTGATAAGCCGATTAAAATAAAATTCGAAGACCTATATGCATAGAAAAGTTAAATTATTGGAATTATAACAACACTCGAAGAACTTCGTATCAGAAAACAACAGTTTATTAGAACGAAATTGTTCTTTTTTTATTTATCCAATGGATTCAGCAATAGAAATAATTATAAGATTTATATCGCCCTAATATTAACTTATCGGCAACGAAAATCTAACGGATCGTAAATACGCTCTAATTGTAAGTCATGTATTTAGGTGTCGCGGAAAATTTGGCATACGACTTGATGACTTTATTGACCGCCTCGAGGAAATCTTTCTCCGTGGCAACTTTGCGCCGTGCTCGAATCGCGAACATGCCAGCTTCAGTGCAAACGGATCGAATTTCAGCACCTGTGCTATTGGGACAGAGACGAGCGAGTAATTCGAATCTAATATCCCTCTCGACGCTCATCGAGCGCGCATGGATCTTGAAGATGTGCGTGCGTCCTTCGAGATCCGGCAGACCAAATTCTATCTTCCTGTCCAGACGACCCGGTCGCATCAGCGCAGGATCCAATGTATCCGGTCTATTCGTCGCCATTAGAACCTTTATGTTGCCGCGTGGATCGAATCTGAAACAATGAAGAAATTTATTTACAAATAGATCACACAACAGTTAAATATAAGATCTTTAGACGAGGATAGTTTACCCATCTAATTGATTGATTAGCTCCAACATAGTACGTTGCACTTCGTTATCGCCGCCGGCACCATCGTCGAAGCGAGCGCCACCGATGGCATCGATTTCATCGAAGAAGATCAAGCAGGCCTTCTTACTTCGCGCCATCTCGAACAGTTCTCTTACCATTCTAGCACCCTGCGAAAAATCAAGTTGTCATGTATCGCAATCCACACATAAAGTTATAATTAAGTTTTTACACGAGATCTGACTTACTTCACCAACGTATTTTTGGACTAATTCTGAACCAATTACACGAATAAAACAAGCATCTGTCCTGTTAGCCACTGCTCTGGCACATAAAGTCTTTCCTGTACCCGGTGGCCCAAACAGCAAAACACCTTTTGGTGGCTCAATACCCAGATTAACAAACTTTTCTGGCTGCAATTAATTTTTATTATTTATTTTTGATACTTTATTAAAAAAAAATTGCTAAAAAAATATGATATACTAACATGTAATAATGGCGTTTCAACAACTTCTCTCAATTTCTCGATTTGCTCCTTGCAGCCACCAACATCACTATAGGTAACATCAGGTTTCTCTTCTACTTGCATCATTGTTACAGTAGGATCAATTTTGGATGGCAGTGGAATATGAATTTGATACTTGTTACGATCCACCCCTACCCTCATGCCTTCCTCTATATCAGTTGGCGCCACAGAATCCGCTAAGTCAACTACAAATTTCGCAAATTGCTTCACGTTTATTATATACTTTGGATCATCGGAATCTGCATTTATAATTTTGGTGCAGCGTGCCACTTGCAGCGGTTGTTCGTTCTGTAATGTTTGTTTATCCGCTGCTAGATCCCAAAGTGCTGGTGGTGCCAGACCAGTATCCGATTCTTTGATGCCAGTCAATTCATTCACACGCTTAATAATAGTTTGTATATCCTCTTCAACAGCTTTAATACTTTTTGTGTATTGTCCCTGGCCCTAATTAATATGAAAATGATATTGCATATTGTAATGTTTATATTTAGAAATTTAAAGGGATATTAAAATTAATTCGAGATATGATATTTTTATATGATTAACGTGTATTCATCTCCAAATACTTATATCTAATCTTAAAATTCTTGTAATAACAATTTAAGAAGTTTGACTCACATAAGTTTTCAACAAAGCAATGTCGCCTTCATCCAATGCTGTAAATTCAGAGGATAGTCTTTAGAAAATAAGATAATAAAATGGATAAGATGACAAAGAGAGTCAGACAGATACAACTCACATTTTATCTCCTTTTCTTCTTTTTCTTCCTCGTTCTTTACTTTTCGCATGTCTTCTCCTAAATGGTCTGGCATCTTTGCGTTGATTAAATCGTCTTATTTATTCAAATTACACGTTTATTATTCGCGAATCTGACACAGGGACTGACAAATCTATCTTCACACAGAGAGGTTATGTTTCCTTTGGATTACAAGTGAAATCAGCGAAATCGACAATGGCAAAAGAAGCCTAAAGAAGAAGCGACCTACGAAACGTGAACGATTGAAATTCTTCTTTCTAATGGACAGACGGTAAATACATCTACATTTATTTTTACAGAGAGATGATAAGTTAAAACACGAAAATTTACCTACAGTTGATTATCTTTAATAGTATCGTCATAATTATTGTTCTAAAAATAGCATTTAAAAAATATTAAAGAATAAAAATGCAAGAAAAAAAAAAAGCATTTATAGTAGATTACATACACGTTACAATGGAAGTGATCTAGCACGTATGATTTATTGTGCGAGATTCCGCTGATTTTTTATTTCCACATCAGATACATGCAAATTATACATATTAACTATTAATAAATATACTTGTACAAAATCAATATTTGCAGTTTTTTTCTAATTTTTATATACATAATCCATTTTATTATTTTGTTGTTACTTATTTTTGTATATTTTTCATTACTTGCAAAGTAAAATAATTCTTTTATTTGTATAAGAGAGTAATATTTCTATTAAATAATACATTCCAGATTATCATAAAACATATATAGCATTAATATTTTATGATATACATTATATGTTTATTTCTGTATGTCATTTAAAAGTATAAAGATTAAAAAACTTCTTTAACAGTTTTTTATATATGCCACCCATTCAACTTGTAGAACACATCATGTATTTATTCTTCCAAGAAGAAATATTGTCCAGCTCTCTTTTGATCTAAATCCTATAAAAGAAAAAAAAGGTTAATATCTTGTTCTTTATCTTTTAAATTAGATATAAGACTCAGAAATATTATATCCACATTTATATTAAAAAATGCATAAATGTGATGCATCTATATGCAATGTCATATATATGCTTTTTTGAATTTATATGTTTATATATATGTAATAAATTTTCCGTAAATATAATTTCGGAGGAATATATAGAAAATTTAGCAAATAATTAGCAAAATTTATACATACCTTCACTGATTGATTTTTATTAATTCTTGGTCTAAAATTGTTGGGATCTCTTCTGAAAGTAATACCCAATAGCTTCAAAAATCTATTCATACCGTTGTATAAAGACTGAGGACTATGGGCAGTAGTTGCAAGAGACGGCGTACCAGAGAATACTATCACACGATCAGCCAAGTACGTAGCCATAATGAAATCGTGCTCTACTACAAATCCTGTTTTCTTTGCGTGCAATATAAATCTAAAATGTAAATGCGATTTTCAGAATATTTATTTACCCATATCGCGCATTTCCATAACCAAAAATATTTATCAAATACCTTTTGATGACTTTTGCAGCAACCAAACGTTGTTCAGAATCTAAATATGCAGATGGTTCATCAATTAGATAAACATCAGCTGGTTTTCCTAGGCAAAGGGCTAGAGCAACTCGTTGCAACTCTCCTCCAGAAAGATTTTGCACTTCTTGATCCATAATATCGTCAATTTTCAAAGGCTTCATTACATCGGTTACAAATTGTGGATGCACATATGCATCTCGGATCTTCTCATGTAATAGTTGTCTAACAACACCTTGAGATTTGGGACTTATCTTTTGTGGTTTATAACTGATATGAAGTTGAGGGATACTTTCTGCAAAGCAATATATATATCGTAATATATTTATCGTTTTATTTTATGTAAAGTATTATATAATTTACATTACAGATCTTTAGCATTTTATAGAAAATGTTTAGTAAAAGTTATTCAAGCATAAAACAGAGAAAAAATATTCGTAAAACAGAGTCGCACAGACTATTTTTTTTTTTTTGCTAGAATACTCTAAAATATTTTAAAAATATATTGTTGAAATTTATTATTTTCCTCACAAAACGCTCTATATATAATTTCATTTTCAACTTTGAAAAGGAGACAAATCTTTTTCTCTAGTCCAATAGAATACCACTTTTTTAATGATTATTTCACCAATAATAAACTACAATCTTGCATACTTATATATTTAAGTTTACCTGATCCATCATCCAGTGCTAAGTTGCCAGCCAACATCCTGATAAATGTTGTTTTACCAGTTCCATTTTCTCCTAACAAAACAAGTATTTCTGAATCAGTAAATTGCCCTTTTTCAACATTTAATTTAAAAGATCCCATTGTTTTTGACATTTCAGGATATTCATAATGATTCATTCGTTTTACTTCTTCTTCAGTTGCACTTTCTGCCACTTTAAATACAAGAGATTCCTCACGGAATCGTAAATTTTCCGTAGGAACAAATCCATCAAGAAAAATGTTTATTCCTTCTCTTACAGAAAAAGGCATAGTAACGACGCCATATGCCCCAGGAACGCCATATAGGCAACATATAAAGTCTGATAAATAGTCCAAAACAGACAAATCATGCTCCACCACTATTATAAACCTGATATATTAAAATAAATATAGTAAATACATTAAAAATATAATAAAAATTAATGAAGTCTTTTACAAAATAAATCTTTACTTGTCTGGATGAATAAGGGATCTAATAGTTTTAGCAGCATTAAGACGTTGTTTGACATCTAGATATGAGGAAGGTTCGTCGAACATGAAGATATCTCCATCTTGGATGCATACCATTGCACAAGCAAATCGTTGAAGCTCACCACCTGAAAGTGCTTCAATACTTCGATCACGTATGTGCAATAAATCTGAAAAAAAAGATATTATATCTTAATAGAAATATAAAATATGTAAAATATTATCAATACTTAAACAGATATTTAGATTATTTTGCTTTTACATGAAAGTGTTATAAGAATTAACATTATTGCTTACCAAGCATTCTGCAAATTTCCATTTGATTTTTGCATTCATCTTTTTTATCTAAAAGCTGTTGCACAGTACCTTTTACAGCTTTAGGAATTTGGTCAACATATTGAGGCTTAATAAGGGCTTTTAAATCATCTTCCAGAAT